GTGGAGTTTTTTTAAAAATAAATCAGTAGAGATTGTGGGATAAGATGTACTTTAGCAGAGCTATATGAAAAAATTAGTAGAAGAAGTAGTGAGACTAGATAAGCAGGGTAAAAATTCCGATAATTCATTAGAATACTTGAGCAACTTCATGGATGGACTTTAATAATTAATACATTGGTATCATTGGCACAATACCACAGAAAAGGGGATAATTTTTTAAAAACAGAATAATGATTCCATTATAGACGAGGAAGAGAAAGAAAAATAAATGTTTTAGTAGTAAGTTCAAAAGGAGGATGGAATAGACAAAGACATTTTGAAGTTGAAAAAAGAAAAACTTGAGTAGGTTTTCGCTGTTGACATGGCTTAAGTTAAAAATAAATACGAAGGTATAATGGCCTTATAAGGACCCTTGAAGGATTAATTTGATATTTTCGATAAGCCTGACTTATTCCAAGTTAAGGAGAAAGGGAGAAAATACCTCTGTTTCGGAGGATAGTAGCATGCTAAGATTTAGCATTTCTACTAAAAGCATCTCGAAGATAAGAAGTATGGTGAGCTAGAGTTATCAACTAATGTAAAATCTAAATAATTAAAGGAAAGCAAATAAATTTTGACTAATTTCATCTTCTTCATCAAATAAGAAGATATTAAGGTGACAATTTTAGATTAAATGGATAATAATCAAAATTAGATATAAGTTCATTTTTTGAAAACTCAAACACGTACACCTGAATTAACCATAGAAATTTATGTTAAAAGAGAATGGACATTTCATTTAAATAAAGATGAGGAAAATATTAAAGCTGTAGAGGGGAAGGAGGAGATAAAAAAATTGAACGAAATATTCGATAAGTGCAAATTTCAAAATATAGATTACAGTGAATGGTTTAAAATAGGAAAGAAGAAATATGTCTTCTCTTGTGAAGCGAAAAAATTTCCTTAAGCACTAGATCCCTACAGCTAAAATCTTTATAACTATTAGCTAAAAGAAACAAAATAGAAATTTCAGTGGAATATGATTGAGTCCTTTAAATTTCCAGAAAATTATAATGATCCCAA